GTCTGTCAGCATGTAAGTGGGAAAACAAATTGTAATACGACTGAGTACCCCACAACAGTGAAAAAGAACAGATTATAGCTGTATGCAACAGCATGCACATATCTTAGAAATGTCATGTTTAGCAAGAGAATCCCAACACAAAAGAATACATCCATATGATGCAATTATATAAGACTCTAGAACTGGAGAAATGAATTTGAGGTTAGAGAGAGGGACCTTCTAGGTCAGAGGCCGTAGGACTGGTGTCAGGGGATATTAATACACATGGAAATTAGCAAGTTGACCTCAACTGTTCTATACCTTGATTTTTTAGAATCACACAGGTATATAGATTTGTTAAAAGTCATTGATCCTAAGGGCTGGCAGATTGGCTCAAGTGGTAAAGCACCTGCCTAGCAAGCATGAGACCCTGAGTTCAAACCCCAGTGCTGCCAAAAAAAAGTCATTGATCTATAACCTTAAATAAGGGAATTTTACTGTGTATAAATTATAACTCTATAATGTTGATATTCATGTTTCTATATTGATTACTAAATCAATGAATTCCAGTTCATAGTAGTATTGATATTAATCTTAATTCCAACTGAATTAATGTATAATTTATTAGGAAGTAAATTACCTAGTTAGATGATTAACTATGCAAATTTCTGGGCCTCATCTTGGTAAGGACTCAAGTCATTGGTCACTATAATTATTTCTAGTTGATTCTATGAAGGATGGTTTGTAGAGCACATTTGGAAAATTTCTGTGGAATCGTTTTTATTTCCTTGAGGGTATCAGTGGTGCCTCTCAGACCCTTGCTTTTTCCACCAGTGCTCTCCTCTGAACAGTGCTCTGTCTTCCATGGGGAAGAGGTGCAGGGCAGGTTGGGAGAGACGCACTCTGCTTAGACCCACTGGGCACATGAAATGCTAGGGTTGAAAGTGCATTTTGATCCCTGGCACCACACACAATAAAAGGTACATTTTGGAAGTGAAAATACAGTTCAAGAAAATAAAATAGCAATTCAGGGAAATGAACTACTTCTGCCTTAGCTTTTCAGAGATTTCACACCCAGTAAGAGTTTTAAGAACACACGTGCCTTCCTGATCCTTTCTTCAAAGACATCCTAGACCAAAGGCCTGTATACAGAAGCATCCCTGTGAATGCGGCAGAAATAACCAGTGGTCAGGATCAGTGTCCTCCTTTCCAAATGTCACGTGTTGCCTTCATGTCTTTACCTCCCACCACACATGGTCAGCTTCCGGCCACTGCTTGCTGCTGGGTGAGACTATAACTCCTTTTTTAGCCAAATGGTATCTCTGAGAGAGTTCCTCCAGACATGTGAGTACTGCCTGTGACAAATTCTCTAGCCCCTAGGAATTAGCATGTAAGAACCTTAGAGTACATCTGTCTTCAGATTGTCCAGTATTCTCTGGAAAATAATTGCAGCAAAAGTCTTCAAGTATCACTTTTGAACACTCTCCTGGAACACAAGAAAACGAACTAGACACACTTCCACGTGAGATTTAGGTCAGCAAGGTTGGAGTGGGTTAGCTCCGGGAGTCGCCAGCCAGGAGGGCAGGAGCTGCCAGGTGGGGGTGGTTGTGATGTCCCGTTCCTGCTGGTTGGGTCAGATCACGTGACTTGGACACTGAAGAATCTCTTTCATCCTTCAAAAATGACACTTGTCCTCATTTTAAGCTGCGGACTTTCCTATAAATCCTCTGCGTGCTGCTTTAAACTGATTTCTACCTCTTTCTCTGTGCTGTGCTTTAAGAATCACGAGGCAAATGTCCACAGAGGTCGCCCCATGTGCCACGCACTGATGTAAATCCCTGTAGCTGTCAGATCATTTCATTCTCACGACAGCCATGTGAGAGAGGCATGTTTTGAATCTCGCTTCACAGAGAAGGACACTGAGGCACAGAGAGGGCATGGAAACTATCCAATATGGAACCGGTATTTGACCCCAAGTAGTATAACTCCTTAATCCTTTCTCTGAACTACTACAGTGTATTACAGTATGCACCAAAAAAGAAAAAAATGGCTGGTAATGGGGTTAGACCAAGAGAATGTGAGGACAGATTTAGCCTCAATCCTGGAAAATGTAGCTTCTGAGCTAAGGGGGGTGGGCTAAATATTTGTATATAAGGAGTTCACACTGTTAACAAGAATACAGGTTCAGTAATCAAAACTATAACCTCAATTAATAAAACTAGCAATGATAAACTACGTTCATACAAGATTAGACAAGCACTTCCTACTCTAAACCAAGAGCTAATATTCAGGGTGGCAGGTCTTCTATGCTGAAATTTTGAGAGCATTTGTGTGTCTATTGTAACCATAATAAGTGACCTTAATTTTCCTGTAGCCCCCTGCATTTCTGGTTTATGAAGTTGAATTTCATAGAAAGAATTTTTTTCCTAAATGTTCCTGATGAAAGATTGTAATAAAGATAACAATGAATGATATTATCTTAGTATTTTTATTCAAAAAATTGCAGTGGATTATTTGTATTATGACTATAAAAATTTTTATTTGCACTTAAAAGAGTTTTAAATCTCTAAAAATTACTTTTATGGCTCATGCCTGTATCTTAGCTACTCAGGAGGCATTGATAAGAAAGATCACACTTCGAAGCCAGCACAGGGCAATTAATTCTTGAGACCCTATCTTGAAAATACCCAACACTAAAAAAGGACTAGAAGTGTGGCTCAAGTGGTAGAGCACATACCTAGCAAGGGCAAGGCCCTGAGTTCAAATCCCAGTACCACCAAAAAAAAACCAAACCAAAACAAAAAAAACGTGAACCCATGCTTCTCTGGTGGCAGAGCACACTCAGGACTGCGTGGCATTGCCTCTCACCAGCACCCCAGCACAACAGTTGCTGCTCACTTCCTCAACTAAATGTTTTCTATCCCAAGCATGATTACTTGTTTAGCTTCATGTTTTCATGAGTTGAGTACTATGGTGTTTTATTTTAAGCTTGAATTTTTTATTTAATGATTCATTTTCATTAAAAGTATCTACCCAATGGGTTTGAGTTAAAACCATGTGGTTAAATTCCTAGCTAGAAGCAGTAGCAATAATGAAGTCAAGTCCTACTCTGGGTCTCTTTTACCTGACTTTTCTAAGCACTCTATTTTGCTGGAAGAAAAAAATTCCAGGTAATTTGCTTGCCCTGTCTTAGAAGATCAAGACCACTATTGCAACTGGGGTCATAGTGAGAAGGGAGAGGGGGAAAAGATTGAAATAATCCAGGCAAGACCTTCTCAGGAACAAAATTTTTTGGTAGACAAGTGAAAATAAGGGAGTCCAAATATTCACATTGTCTTTGAGCACCACCTGAAGACAAAACCAGAGAGAGTGGCAGTGCAACCATGTGCAAGTCTTTACTTGGTCTTTTTGCTGTTTGCCTTAGTTTATCACCATCTCTTAATCACAGATGGCTTCATTAGGATTTGACAGCTTTGTTTTTTAATTATGCACATAAAATTAGTCATATTACAAGGAATGATGGCTTAGTTTACATAAACTGTGCACAGAATATAGAATAATGTATTCATTATACACTTTCATATGTTAATTCCTCACAAGCATACTGACTCCATGTAAGAATATCAGACTTCTAAGTTTTTAAATAATAGTTGCATAAAATGGGTGACTTATTTTCTTGCTGTGCTGGAGATCAAGCCCAGAGCCTTATGCATGCTGGGTAAGCACTCTACTAGTGAGCTACATCCCAACAGACTGGATGATGGTTTGAGGCACAGTTCCTGTGTTTATTTTGCATAAGCTGAATTACTGCTTCACAAGAGTAGAAGTAATATGTTGTGAAATTGATAAACAGATAATCCATTTTATAGGCTTTGAGTAACATTAGCTAGTCATCTTCTAATAGCTTCATATTTTATTGTGCTTTTGTGTATATTCATTTGTTAAACAAGTATATTTTTCCAAAGATAATTGCTTCTCTTTACTTTTGAAAAAAAACTCTGGCCATTTTGCTGGGTAATATTCATTTCTTTGTGTGTCTATTACTCAATCTTCAACTGCTTTTGACAGATGTTCTTTCCATTATTTATAAAGTGCATTGTGTTTTGATGAGCTGAACATTCATGATCTTTTAGTGTAGTTTCGGGATGCTGTCAGAGTGGGGAGACTGGTGGAATTAGAGTTTTGAGAAGCTATAGCAAGAAGACCAAAAATAGTGTTATTACATTCATGTGCTCGTAACAAAATGTGCAAACAAACAAAAATGTGTGCCTTCATTGCTTAGGGTTAGGCTTCTCCAGAAAACAGAACCATGGGGCATGTGCTTTTGTGTGTACATGTGTGTATCTTTTTTATTATTTCAAAAGCAATCTTTTTTCTTTTTTAAATTTATTATTGTACTAGGGGTACATAGTGGCATTTACAAAAGTTCTTGCAGTATGTCATAGTTGAATTCACCCCCTCCATTATTCTTCTTTATCTCCCCTTCTCCCATTCCTGGAATAGTTTCAACAGGTCTCATTTTTCCATTTGTATACATGTGTACACAATATTTCCACCATATTCACCTTCATGTGCATATATTTGATAAACATAAATCTTTACTAAAGTGTGTACACATAAAAGAATCAAGAGAAATCAAAGCTACTGGGAATGAATAAGCCATTTTAATTGAGGGATACTAATGTTTAATGTAAGAATGATATTAAAATTAAAAATTAATGTAATAGAAATGCAATACCTTTCCTGATTTTTTAATTAAAAGAATGAGAAGAAGTGAACCACTATAAAATTAGAAGCCATTGGAAGTAGATTAATAACAGTATTTCTAGATGATAAAGTTGGGAAAAGTCCAACACTGGGTATTAGGTGTATCAACTCATGATACCAACTGAATGTATGTTTATGTCAATTTCTCCCTTCAATGAACAGGCTAAAAATATAGTGTGTATGTTATGTATATTGAACTACATATTTTTAAAGTATTGATATTTAGTAGTGCTTTTTAATATCCTCTTTCCTAGGATCCAAGATGGTTTATTTTGATGGACAGAACTCTCTGCTCTACAGATTTGATAAAAAGTCCATAAGGCCAATAAGAGATGCTATTTCTTTGAAATTTAAAGCCATGCAGAGCAGTGGAATTCTGCTCCACAGAGGAGGACAGCATGGAAATCACATTGCTCTGGAATTAGTAAAAGGACAGCTTGTCTTTTATCTTAATTCAGGTAAAAAAGCATTTGTTCATTTATGCCAGTAGTTAAAAATCTATTTCGATGAAATTACTTTTCATCTTTTCAGTTGGTAAAGGGACCAGATGACTTATCCAAACCGGAGTACCTCTGAGAGTTAAGACATGCTACTAGTAGTTACCTGGGCTAATAAGCATCTATTTTGACAACTGTGCAAGTGGGCCATTATAAGTGAATTGTATGGTATGTGATATATTGTGATCATATATCATCATACAGGTAAGAATAGGTCACTGTAAAATTATGAGTCAGTGTTGATAATGATATACCAGAAAACAAATACTTTCAAGGTCAATGTGCAGGTTATGAATAGTATAAAGAAAAAAATCACCAGAAAAAAGCAATTTCAACAATGCATAGAAATGAATAAAAAAGATGTGAAGATACCATGTTTGAGATGAAGGGAAAGTCAGAGACATGTTACTGGTTGGAAGGATGGATGTGAATTACAATGCTGATCTAACAAAGAGAAGACATGATTTTTAACAGGACTAACATGGTGCGGTATTTTCCTTTCTTTTAAGGCAATGCTAACCTGCCCCCGACTAATGCTCACTTGAACCTCACCCTGGGCAGCCTGCTGGATGACCAACACTGGCATTCTGTTCTCATCGAGCGACTCAACATGCATGTCAACTTCACCTTGGACAAACACACTCGTCATTTCCATGCAAAGGGAGAATCCAGTTACCTGGATCTTAATTTTGAGGTTATTATGCATTGTATAATTTAAATGGACAATAGCCTGAAAAACCCTAATCCTATACAGAAGTACCACTTTGTGGTAATTCACACCTATGGTGATGAGTACATAGTAATTGTTCATGTATTCCTTAATAATAGGACAAATTAATATTGCCATAGATCACCTTTTACACATGAGAGGAAGTAACCATCATAGTGGTAGGCTTTGGAAATTTTCTACAAATGAAGAGATTTAAAGACACAAAACAATATTATTAGATACATTCCTTTTAAATTTCACCAGGTGTATTGCCTTTGTTGTTTGGCTATGAAGAGATCCCTTGGGGATTTTTTCTTATGTTGGTATAGCCACAGGCAACAAAACATCACGTAGGATCATTTCGAATATTTAAACCATATATACCAGTAGATTTTGTAACTATCAAGACAGTCAAATACACACATATATGTAGCTTATTGACTGACTTAACATTTTCAGCAATGCCTTGTGAGTCTGTATGGAAACCACACCATTAAATATCAGGTATGATGACAGGTCTTCACAGGATGCCTTTGATGCAGGATCAGAGCAAACCAGGAAAGCTGTGTCGCTTATGTGGTACAAGAGGGTTGGGCACATAATATCCTTACAAGACCCTGGTCATGTACCAGATCACCCTCAGTTTTTGCCTTAGTTTAACTGTGCAATAGCAAAGAATAGGGCCCCACACAGAGGTTGACAGTTTATGGGTATCAGGCCAAATCTGGTCTATTTGTCTTATTATTTAAAAACGAACCTGTTTTTGCTTTTTAAAAAGTTTTATTGGAACACATTCCACGTTTTTTGTGGGACTGGGGTTTGAACTCACATCTTTGCTCTTGCAAAGCAGGTGCTCTACCACTTGAGCCACACCTCCAGTCCCACTTCCACTTTTTAAGGTGTTATCTGTGACTGCTTTGGTGCTATAATGCATAGTTGTGAGATGCAAAAGAGATGCTATGACCCACAAATCCCAAAGTTTACTGCATGGCTTTTTACAGAAAAATTGTGTTGACCTCTTCTTTTAAGTTTATATGCAGAGTCTGGAGCCAGAAATCAAGCTATCAAAAAATGCCATGATAATGAATACTTGCCTTGAAACAAACAGACTTGGAAATATACAGTGGTGCAAATGGTCTTGTGACAGATGGTGTGATACTTGCTAATCATAAACATCTTAAACGACAATCAGAAAATCACTAAACAATATTATTTATATGATTTTTCTTTCTAAGATCAGCTTTGGAGGAATTCCAGTACCTGGAAGATCACTGGCTTTCTCACCTAAAAGTTTTCATGGATGTTTAGAAAATCTTTATTATAATGGAGTGGACATTATCGAATTAGCCAGGAAACACAATCCACAGATTCTCATTCTGGTAAGAGAGCTTGAAGGGAGAGGAAAGAGACAAGAATTTATTTTTTAACTTAAAAAATATTCCTGTTTGGTCTTCACTTAATATAATATTTTAAAAATTCAACTCTTACTGTTAAAACAGCTGCCATGTAATATAATTTTTAGTATGCGTTAAAAAGTTAAAAAGTAAATATGCTTCACAGGACAAGTTTATTTTATTTTAATGTGAATTAAGATAACATTGTATTTTTGCATTAAATCAGAATCCATATGACTCATCTGGTTTGGGAATTATTATTCTTGGGAGACCAATTGTTTTGCAATGAAAATCCCTAATGAACAAAAAATGTTTCCAAATAGTTAATAAACTTCCTTCTATGTCTAAAACTAAAAGTAAGTTTTGGGTTATAGGGTGAGTTCATGTTTAGTGCCAGCAAATCTTAGAGGAATGTCATGGGACTGTTCATTTGTATTGTTTTAAAAAAATGTTTTCTTCCCTGTCCAGTACTGTCAGGAGTTAGCATATAGGTTGTAGGAGCGAAACCTGAAAATATTGTCCGTGGATAGTTCACTTGGGTTATCATGTGATAAAAGGGAAGAATAGCTGTTAGAGCCCATGCACTTTCCAAGGTTAAGCAAAAATAATTAAGCAAATAGAGCTGAAGCCTACTGTGAATGTGCTATGCCAAGGTAAAACAAATGTCAAATACCATTAAGATGACTGAAAACAGAAAGACCAAAGAAAAGAAGGATTAGAAGGCTCCACAGGGTGCAGGTACTTGTGAAGTTTAAAAATAAATGAAAGGGAAGGAGACGAATGGATCAGTTCCTGTCTTTAGAACATGAAAGAGAAAGAAGACACCTGTCCATGAAGTCGACTTCGACATACTCAGAAACCACTCAAATACAAAGACTTCTTTGACCAATGAGCATCTAAGTCAAGAAGCCTAATGTGGGGTGGGGATGTAGCTCAGTGGTTAAGTGTTTGCCTACCATGCATGAGGCTTTGGGTTCAATCCCTAGTACCACAAAACAAACAAACAAACAAAACAACTAATGTAGTACCTCCTGAAGTTGAAGCCAACTTTTATTTGTCAATTCCTACCGTAGCATCTTTGGAGCCATTACCCAAAGTACTGTTATCATGGTGAACACAGTGAGTTGGGCCTTATGATACAAGGAGCCAGGAACATTTGAGGGAAACCCTGTTCTTCATACAAACTTTGTATCATTCTAGATTACTGATGGATTTGTTGACAGAATTATTAACTGATTCTAGATAACCAGGAAAACAACAAGTATCCTAACATCTCTGAAGTCCTGATATCAGCCTCAAAAAAACTGTCAACAGCATCATGTAGAGATGTTGACATGTATGAGTCTTACCCAAAAACAAACAATGAAGAGAATTCCTTAGAAATTGTGTGTGAGAATATAAATGCTACACATACAAATTCCACTTTGAGAGTGATTTAAATTTTACATACTCTTTATAAAAATAGAAAAATAGTTGCTTCAATATTTTAAAGGAAGATATTTTACAATTTGGCAAAATCATTTGTCAGAATTGGCTCATGCAACTCACAATCATTCATCTGTGACAGTAAGCTAGGCTTCTTTGTTGTCATAGGCAGCTGCTCATCTGCACAATGAGGTCAAGTGTCCTGAAACAACCTGACTGCAGTGTATGAGATCTAGCCCCAAGGTGCAGTGAGACCAAAGAAAGGGAAGTGGACAGATCCAGGATGGCACAGAGTGCCATTTTTAGGGACTCACTAATGAAGTGTGGTCCTGGGGAGTAGCATGACTAAGTAGCTCTCTGGAATTTGAGTCAGAAGGAAGGGTATATGTATTAGTTAGGATGAAAATCACCTCATCCTAGCCAGAATGTACCTAATTTATCTTAAGCTAATTTCAAAGAGTCGGGCTCATTCCTGGCACCAGCGTCAGCCTGTAGAGCTTCATGAGTCACTTGAATGGTTTGGTTTAATTCTTACTTGCTGGGAGACCATGAGAGTTACTCTGGGGCAATTGTGGAGGTTGCATGTCAAGATGGCTGCAGTCAAGTCAAGCTAATTCATACAACCAAAAAATCTGCAGCTGATAAAAATGTTAAAAAACACAAGACAGTCAAATGATTCAATTTATGCCATAAATTATACATAATTATTTTTTATTTAATTCATTACTACATAATTCCTTATCATAAAAACTATTTTACATTCAGGAGAATTTTTTTAAAAAGTCAAGCATGAATGCTCTGATTTTATATATTCTATACATTATATAAAATACATTAAAGACTTTTAAAATGAAAACTGAATTATGCTAGTTTCTGAAGTACATTAAGACAGATTTTTTTTTAAAGTATGATTCAGTCTTAAAAGTGGCTTTAACCTCCAGATCAGTGATTCTTAAACTTGGATTTATCTTGGAGGAACCAGAGAAGATTTAAGAGATCCTGGCACCTGAATCCACCCAAGAGATTGGGATTTGATCCATCTGGTTGTAGATTTTTTCACAGCCCTCTGATGAATCAACTATTAGCAAGCCTGAGAACCACCACCCTTGCTGCTCTTTGCCTTGCTTTAGTAATGCTTTTGTTCTAAAATGCTATCTAGTATATTAATGGAAACAATGCCAGAAAATTCCAAGTAAAATTAGCGTTTCTGGGGTTTTCCTCTGCAACTAAAATTTATATGTATAAATAAAACCCCAAGACTATCCTTTTGTCCTACCACCTAAAATTAAAAAACAAAAAAGAAAACAAATAAAGAAAAAACAGTCAGATGGGACTCAACTGGTCAGATATTAAACATACCAAAAGCCCTGTATTAGATTCAGCATGTTGTTGGGTAGAAATGGACAGGTGGTAGAACAAAATCGAGATACCAGAAAGATCCCAATCTACTTGCAAAGTTATTAGTAGTAGCAAGGCCACTTGTTCAAGTACCAAGGTTTAATTTCAGAGGCAAAGAAATGAATTATGTCATAAATTATGCTGGAACAAACAAGTGACCCCAAAGCAGAAAATAAACCTGGATCACTATTTTATGCATACCCCAAAATAGGTAAATTTCAGGAGGACAAGGAAACAAGTGGCAACAACAATTCTTGGAAGAAAATCTGTGCCGTTGCATGTAGAATTCTGGGGAGTGAAACTTTCCTAATAAAGACTGGAAACCCAGAAGCTCCAAAGAAAACACAGGGCTGGGGAAATAGCTCAGTGACAGAGCGCTTAACTAACATGTGCAAAGCCCTGAGTTTGATCCCTGCACTATGAAAAAGAATAGTTAAGTAGTTTTTCCAAGCATGGTGGACCACGCCTATAATCCCAGCACTGAGAAGGCTGAGGTAGGAGGATCTCCAGTGCAAGACCATCTTGGGCTAACCAGTGAGACCCTGACAAAAAAATAAAAGAGAAAAGAAAACATAGGCTTGATTGTATAAAAGTTGCTACTTTAATGTTAAAATACTATAATTAAACTTTGTATGCCACTGTTAGATCTGAAAAAAAAATGGAACGCCATCAAAGTATAGTTTTCCCAAAGCTAAAAAGTATGACTCATACAAATAAATATGTGTCAAGGATGTAATCAAAGCTATAGGGCAGGCAGAGATAGAAGGATCTCAGTTTGAGGTCAGCTCCAGGCAAAATTAGGGAGACCCTATCTCAAAAAAACAAGCTGGCACTCCTGTAATCCCAGCTACTTGGGCAATGGAGGTTGCCTATGGCCAACCCAGGCAAAAGCAAGAGACCCCATCAAAAAGAAACAAAAGCCTGAAGAGCTGGGGATGCGGATCACAGAGAAGAGTGTTTGTATAAGCAAGCATGAGGGCCTGAGTTCCAACACCAACACCACTAAAAAAATAAAGATAACGACACACTCAGTTCATTAGCTAATGAGACCAGCGAAGTAGGTGAGCTGCTACAAAGCAGATTTTGAGGAGTGTTATTTAGAAAAGACCAAATACTCAAAGGACATTTTGGAATTATGGCAATACCCAACACAGGGCTTGGAAAATACCCAACATAGAATTAACTGCTATTGAATCAGACTATTCTGAAATTCCTTTACAATGCTGAGATGTACAAAAGTGGAGAATTCCACAAAAAACTGCAGGGATCATTTTGCCCTGTGATGCTTACAGTCACACTGGAAGATAGATAACTATCATAGACTAGACTAGTTACAAACTCCTGGTTGTTAAAACAAACCTCTGTAAATCTTTGCCAAATCTCTTTAACTAGACAGAAGCACCACCATACACCTCTCATCGTGCTTTTTCTTCTATTTCTAGGGAAATGTGTCTTTCTCATGTCCACGGCCACAGACTGCCCCTGTCACTTTCCTGAGCCCTAAGAGTTATCTGGCTCTGCCGGGCAACACTGGGAAGGACAAAATGTCAGTCACTTTTCAGTTTCGAACGTGGAACAAAGAAGGACATTTGCTTTTCAGTGAACTTGGGCATGGTTCGGGAAGCTTCATCCTTTTTCTAAAGGATGGAAAACTCGCATTGAATCTCTCTCAGCCAGGACAACCCCTGAGGAATGTCATGGCAGGTAATACATGTGTCCCCACAAACCTGACAAATAACCAGACATGAGTCATCTGGTAATCAGTGAGGTAATGAAGAAGTGTGCAATGACTTTATTTGGAGGATCGGGTTCGCCATCCCCTTTTTACCCTGGACAGTTTACATTGTGGGGCATACAGCCTTCACTACAGTGATCTTTTGAGCCCAAATGATCACATACAAATAAGAAATGCACATTTGTGCAGATGGAATACTCACAAAAAAGATAATACGTAGTATTCTTAAGCTCCGTTTCCCGACAGTCATATACCTAGCGTCCATTCCAAAGAAATGCAGAGTTGGGGCTCATGAAGTAGACAACATAGGGGACAATCATGTTCCTTCTGCTCTCATGCCTCTCTTCTGTTCTGTGGAGAAGTTCTCTATACACAGATGACCACTGCCTTGTCCTGAAAGCTGCCAGCCAATGCCAAGAGTTCTGGTTCTTTTGCTGAGGGCTGATTCGCTTTCTGAGAGAGCCAGGAAAGAACACCAGGGAAGAACCTGGGGCTGTCTACTGAACACCTTCCAGGCTGAACCTGCTCAGCCTCTGCTGTTTGCATGTGTGAGATGGAACACCTTAGTCAGGTCTTCTCTCAGGGAGGCCACTTGTGTCTAGAGACGCATTTCACTAGACCCCTGAGAAATATTTATTGGTTGTGAAAGTATTACCAGATGGGTGGACTCTGGTCAAAAGATTTTCAGGTACTTGGGTATTGCAAAAAAGAGAATTCAAGCATGACATGGAGATGTAGTAAAGTTTATTGAAGATGAGGGGAAGGCATTGTGGAGAAAGCAGTGGTGAGCCTCAGCCAGGTGGGAGAGAAAGGTCTTTATTTCAAAGGGCCTTTATAAACTGAAACAGCAAATGATGGGAAAAATCTGGTGGTCTTGGCAGGAAGGGCTAGGGTGATTGACAAGTTTGATTGACAAGGTCTTGTCAGCCACCATGGGGCACTCTGTGCATACACTTGTGCTAACTCTCAGGTATTTGAATTACATGTATGAGGTGTGATCAATATTCATGTTTTAAGCAATGGGCTTCCATCTGAGAGGCATTCGAGGGTGGAATTTCTTCAAGGCTTCCTGTCTTACACCTGCAGAAGAGCTGCAGTTCAAAAGGGCTCTGCAACTGCTAAGATTTTACAATTGAAAAGAAATTTACAAAGGATGGCATTGGGATGGAGAGAGGAGGGACTCTAACATGAAATGCACTGGGAAAAGTTATATGGCACCTGAAAGTCCCATGGCTGCTCTCCCTATTTCCTAGCCTACCTCAAAAATAGGCTTTCATGACCTATGAAGAAGAATTCAGTGGTTGGGGCCTTATTTCTTTATTTCTAATAACCCAGCAAGCCTACATGTTTAAATCTGTGTCCACTCACCTCAGATCCCAGGTAAATGGTGAAAGATAAAACAGATACTCAGGGAAGATATATATTCTTTATCTTTTAAAAATCAAAACTTGTTTTCTGTTTCCTCATAAATAGGATTTTTCCCCCTATTAAAGTGTAAAATCATGACTCATATAAACACACAAAGTGAATGTGTATCAAAGATTTCATGTAACTCTTTAATTAATGGAGGAACCAATGGTTGGAGAAATAAAAGTGAAACTGCCTGCCAACTTAGTGAATTCCCTTCACAAGGTAGAAAAGAATGAAATAGCTTTTTTACTGAGTATTAAATCAGACTGATGTACAGCTCAGGCAATTTCTAATGAGATTACAAAGACAGAAAAAAAATTTCATTCTTTTATGTGGCAGACCTATACAACCCATTTCACACATTGCCCTCAAGATAAAAGATAACATAATATAACAGGACTTGCAGCACCATTTGGTGCAGATGGCCTGTCTCAAATTCACCTGGTAATTGGGGATGCCATCTGTAATAGCTCATTGTCTTGTTTCCAAGGAAAACTAGAAGCCCTCATATCTCTTTGGTAAGCAACTTGGACCCCACACCTAAGTTAAACTCCTCCAAAGGCAGCATTATCTGCCTCGATGTCTACAAGTCAAAGAAATGTCTCCAAGGACACCAGCAAAAATGTTTCTGGGTTGTAAAACTGGAAAGAGACTAATATAAGGCGAGGGTGTAGGAGGGTGAATATGATGGAAATACTATGTATTCATGTATGAAAATGGAAAAATGAGACCTGTTGAAACTATTCCAGGAATGGAGGGAGGGGATAAAGGAGAATGATGGAGGGGGTGAATTCAACTATGATATATTGTAAGAACTTTTGTAAATGTCACAATGTGCCATCAGTACAACAATAATAATAAAAAAAGAAAAATAAATAAAATTTGAACAAGATTTAAAAACAAATTCCAAAAAGTTGTTTTAAAACTAATTTAAAAAAAAAGACTTACGTATACCTCAGGGCTGAGAAAGAATTTACAATTACAAGTTTTCTAAAGAATATGCTCTAAGAAAAGAGATTGAGAGTGAGTCTCTGGCACAGGGGAAGGTTTTTGTTTGTTAGTTTATATGTTTGTTTTTGCATTTACGTTTACCTCTACACCAGTAAAGCCAGTTCAAAAAGGAATTCCAAGTACCACACACTTACAGTCAGAAAAGGAATGCTGAAACGAAATTACAAATAAACGCAAACCCAGCCAAACTAGCCAATATTTACAAGGAGAGGAAGTCAGTAGATCCTTCTGTGTACAGAGCGTGTACATATTAGCAATGCTGTTTAACTACTGTAGGAAAGTCTCTGAAATGGACTAAAGAAATTACTAATGTGTTGCATGTATTCTGGGTGCAATGAATGCTGAGCAGTCCTCTTTTTAGTTCTGGATTGTACAATAACTAGAATTAGATAAAATAAAAGTTCTTAGGTCACACCAACATTTTGTTCTTGATAATGGCTTTGTACAAGTGATAGTTTACCTCTGAATATAAAATAAAAGCTGTAGGGTTTTGTTTGGTTTTTGTTTGTTTGTTTGGTTGGTTGCATTTTTTGTTGTGTTGTGTTTTTGCAGTACTGGGGTTTGAACTCAGGGCTTCATGCTTACTAGACATGTCCTCTGCCACTTAAGCCATGCCTATAATGCTGCAGTTCTTGACACAAGATCATATACAAACATGTTTACAATACCATTTGTGCTGTGGATAATTGCTTAATTAATTTAATGATTTGTCTTAAAATGCTAATAGATTCTACTATATTTGATTTCTTGAGTATAAACTGTAGCCAAAAGCCAATTGCAACCTAACAGGAAAAAAGAATTATTTGAATCACAAATAATAAACATTGAAAAAGAAAAACTGTACCAAAATCTACTTCATTTGTCAAAAGACATCATAAAAGAGGGTACCAACAGGACTTTATAAAACATTTATTAAAAGAGCATGTCAAAGGGAACCAATTGGTTAATGAGGGAGCCAAAAAGATGTTACAGCAAATTTGAAGGAGAGTCAGAGAATCACAGCTGCAGAAGCAGCAAGTTACAATGAGTTCCCACGGCATTCCCTGGGATGGGATGGGGGAAGAGGCAGGAAGATTGTGTTTCCACCAACCAAATCCAAGACATGTCTATGGACAAAGACCTTTTGCTTGCTTTGACCTCCCCACAATTAACAGAGTGGTAGAAAACTCAGGGAAGGTAAAAAGCACAGAGACCCATAGAATTAACCAATCCCACAGATGGCAGTCAGACAATGCTTACTTTTACACTGAAGCTATCCAGTAATTCTGGTTGACTTTAAAAACTAATTTTTCCTTGCATATCAGTCTTATTTCTGTTTCTGATCCACATATCATCAAATGTTGAAAGGAGATACTGAACGATTAATGTCAATTTTTTAATGTTGAGAACTACATTTGAAATGCTAATAATATATTAACTTTACAAAAATGCATGCATGGAAGGAAAATAAATTGATCACAGAATCATTTTAATAATCAGCAGGCTTCCTAAGAGCACCACCTAAAGTATTAAATTTATAGAAAAAGTCCTATAAACTAGAGTTTATTGTTATATATCTGCTTTGATCTTGTTATATATGAATTGGTTTTGATCTTGGCCTAATTTTAAACATCAGTATAATGTTAATGTAACAGGCTAATTTCATTTTTAACTCATCTATCAGCATCCATCTTCCAGGTGGAAGATCAGACAGACTACCTCTAGTGATTTTAAATATGTTTTTAAAATTCAGGATTCATTAATAGTCCAAGGGGATTTCATGTGAAAATTCCATGGATTGGTGCAGTGTATTATGAGCAAGTATACCTCCTCTGTTATATTCTCTGACACTCCCTGCTTTCTTTCCCCTTTTAAAAACAATATTTGGTGGGTGCCATTGTGCTATCTCCATACATTTATCTTCGTTATCCCTTATAACCTCTCCTTTTCCCCTCCCCCTCCCATTGATCACTCCCACAGTGCCCCTTTTACACTTAAGTCCCATTTTTATTATTTTTTTAAATCTCTTTAGACCTAGATTCCATATATGAGCAAAAATGTGATGTTTGGCCTTTGGAGCTTGGTTTATTTTGCTCAATGTAATGATCTCTAGTTCCATCCACTTTCCTTCAAATGGCATAATTTCACTAATCTTTATGGCTGAACAACACACTGTTGTGTATACCACATTTTCTTTATCCATTCATCAATTGATGGACAGGTACTTATGCTGATACCACAGTTGGCTGTTGTGAAGACAGCTACAATAAACATGGGTGTCCAAGTGTCTCTCTTATACATGAATCTCCACTCCTTTGGATATATGCCCAAGAGTGGTATTGCAGGGTGATAGGTAGGTCTACTTTTAGTTTTTTGATGAACCTCCATATTGATTCTCACAGAATTGTACTACTTTATGTTCTCACCAATAGTGTATGAGGGTTCCTTTTTCCCTCTCCATCCTCACTAACATTTGTTGTTTGTTTTTTTGATGATTGCCATTCTCATTGGGATGAGATGGAATCTCAGTGTAGTTTTGATTTGTGTTTCCCTTATGGACAGGGATGTTGAACATTTCTTCATGAGTTCATTGGCCATTTGTCCACCTTTTTCTGAGAACTGTCTGTTAATTCATTTGTCCATTTATTAATTGGATTATTTGTTCTTTTAATGTTTAATTTCTTTTGAGCTGTCTATATGTTCTGGATATTAAACCTTTATCCAATGAGTAGCTGGCAAAAATTCGACCCCCCCCCATTTTGTTGGTTATCTCTTTATTCTGCTGATTGTTTTGTTCAATGTGCAGAAGCTTTTTAATTTGATGAAATCCCATTTGTCAATTCTTGTTCTTATTTCTTGGGCAATTGGGGTCCTGTTTAACAGGAAATTATTGCCTATGTCTATGAATTCACAAGTTATCCCTACAGTAGTTTCAGAGTTCCAAGTCTTACATGAAAATCTTTGATCCATTTTGAATTGACTTTTGCCCAGTGTGAGAGATAGGGGTCTAGTTTCAGTCTTTTGCATACAAATAACCAGTTTTTCCAACATGCACCATTTGTTGAATAGGCTTTATTTTCTGCAATATATGTTTTGGTTCCTTTGTCAAAAATCAGATGATTAATCAGATGTGTGGTTTAGTTTTGGGCCTTCTATTCTGTTCCATTGGTCTTCCTGTTTCTGTGCTAGTGCCATGCTGTTCGTGTTACTCTGGCTCTGAAGTATAATTTTAAGTCCAGTATTCAGATGCCTCCTGCCTTCCTCTTTTAGTTCAAGATTGCTTTGGCTATTCAGGTTCTTTTGTTCTTCCATATGAATCCTAGGATTGATTTTTCTATTTCTGTGAAGAATGACATTAGGATTTTGATGGGAATTATATTGAATTTGTAGACTGCCTTCGATAGTACAGTTAACAAATGAATGAAATAAGATGATACAAGATATGAAAGAGAAATTCAATAAAGATAGAGAAATCCTGAAAAAAATCAAATGAAATCTCAGAAATGAAAAGCTCAGTAACACAAATAAAAAGCTTAATGGAAATAAAAAGCTTAATGGCTAATAGGTTGGTATAACTTGAAAATAGAGTATCAGAGAAATTAAATCAATCAAAGACTAAGGAAAAATATTAAAGCAATGTGAATGGAACATGCAAGCTCTCTGGAACACCATCAATAGGCCAAACCTACAAATCATGGGTATAGAAGAGGGAGAAAAGATACAAACTAAAGGCATATATATTCAATAAAATGATAGCAGAAAACTTCCCAACCTTGAGAAAAAGAGGGTAATTCAGGTGCAGAAGGCCTTTTAAAAACTTTAATTCTTAAATTTGTCATCAGAGATATTCACTATTATCATATTTCCAAAGATTACTCCAAAGCTAGTACTAAGAATAATAGAATAATGTGAGGAGTAATATAAATATAGAAAAATAATGCACTTATACATATACTTCTAGATATTTTCTAAGCATTTTAATCAAATGTTAAAAAATTACAGTCATACCTATAAATCACAATGTCTTCATTCATAGAACACATAAACACATATTAAACATATTACTTAACTAAGTAATTAATGAAGAAGCCAGTGAGCTATTATAATTAGTTCAAAGGAGAATTTGAAGTATCACACGTGTGGGCAGATAACAAATGCCAAAATGAATTTTCCAACAGTTGCAAAACAGTTCAACAAGCAGTTGCATCTTACAGGGACAACAACTTGCATTTGTATGGCAAAAATCACTTTGTCGTCCTGTCAGTTTTCTGCAATTGACAGCATTGTAAAATAGCTTGTCTGATAGCAGAGTTTACCTGATGGGTGCCCCACATGGACACTCAGTGGTCTTTTCCCCTGTTCAAAGCCTTCCACACTTATTCCTTGCTCAATGTTATCAACTCACTATCCTAATTCTTTGAAAAACATTTCTTGTTAGATTCACTGAAGCAAATAAATTATGCATTTGAAGACTGAACTGAACTATGGCTTAAATCCCCTTGGTAAAGGCTTTGGACATGTCAATTTGATAATGAAATTTAAGGTGCTTCTTTAAGTTCATGATCAGAATTTATTATAGTGGCCTGGCTCTCATAACAAATGAAATCTTTTCATTAAAGAAAGCTGGCTAATTTTTTCCTCACTGAGGTATCAACACATAAATACTGTTTTCCTCTGACTTATTCAGTGGTCTGAAAAATTGTCTTCCAGTGTTTACAAAGTTCATAACTTATAGTTGTCTGTAACTGAATTTATTTCCTCCAGGTGCTGTACTAAATGACGGGCAGTGGCATTCTGTGTCCTTATCTGCTAAATGGAGCCATCTGAGTGTGGTTGTGGATGACAGCAGAGCTGTCCTGCCCCTGGTGTCAGTGCTTATGGATTTAGGCAACACTTACTACTTTGGAGGTGAGTGACGGCAGCTCAAGCACATTGGCAGACAGAGAAAGCATTGCTATCTTTCCTGCCTTCCACCCTGGATCTCTCATTGTATTTCAGTCAAGTTAATACTAAGAAATGATTTATCTCTTTCTATGTCATTATTATCTTTGAGGGGTTTTTTTTTTGGTGGGAGGAGGTGAGACTGGGGTTTGAACTCAGGTCTTCACACTTGCAAAGCAGATGATCTACCATTTGAGCCACACCACTCATCCTATCTTTGAGTTTTTTAAGAACATAAAAAGTTTAATTCTTCTTTCCAAGACCAAAAAAAAAAAAGTACTTCAGAAAGTTTGCTTGCTTCGTAAACAATATTTTATGTTTTACTTCATAAAACATAAAAAACACGTTAGCTATGAGAGTAAAAACTACATGTAAACAGGTGGAAGTTTTCAAATATCAAATGTCATAATCACTTCTCTGCAACAGATAAATAATTACATATTTCTAACAGTTAGCTTGTAAAAATAAAACAAATCTTATTACCCAAAGTCATTGGCTTACATAAAGTCTTTTGGAATTAAGTTTTAGATTTCAGTCCATACTATTGAATCATTATTACACAGCTCAGTTTATACACAAACTGATGTTTTTAAGTCAGTTCATATTATTGAATCGTTATTCCACAGCTCAATTTATAGACAGATAAATTGATATTTTTAAGTCAGAAGACAGTAATTGGAAGTTTCGAATTCACTGTAAAGAACTTTCCAAATATTGGAAATAATAAACAAAAATTAATTAATAGGAGATGTGCGTATTAAATGAATCTGTGGTGAAACTGATGCTACATTGGTACACAGGACTAAATATTTGTGTCCCTTAAAATTCCTATGTCAAAAACCCACCCCCCAAGGTGGTAATGTCAGTGTTTGGAGGGTAATTAGGTCATTAGGGTGCAGCCCTCATGAATGGGGTTAGTGCCTTACAAAGAAACCTCAAAAAAGAGACCACTGTGTCAGAACACACCAGAAAGCAGGGCCTTGCCAGACACCAAGCCTTCCAGTGGTTTGATCTTGGACTTCCCCACCTCCTGAACTGGGAGAAATAAATTTTCATTGTTTAAGCCACTCGGGTCATAGGATTCTGTTACAGCAGCCTGAAATGACTAAGACAACAGACTCATTCTTGGACCCATGGCAGGGTTTTATTGTTAATTGTTTTGGTTTCTTCTTTTAATTTTAAAAAAAACCCAAATTTTCTTTTCAATCAAAAAAATCCACCTGTTTCTATTATATGGAATCATAATACCGGTCCAAAGATTAGTCTTATACCAAAGTTAAGAGAAACCATGCTGTGAGGAAAGTGACATCACAGCATGCATACCTGTATGTTATTATCCATGTCTCCCTGTCTCCACTTCCCAGTAAAGAAAGCTTTCAGTTAAGTGGGAAACTCCATGGTAAGTGCCGATCTTGCCACCCACTTTCATTCCACTCTGTATCTCCTAGGTAGTTCAATTGTGCGTTAATTGTTACTGGAGAACTCAATAGAGTCCTCCTTTCTTTTAAAAATTAAAACTCAAAAATAAAACAAATCTAGTAGAAAACGGCTGTTTCCATCACTTCTCTATATTCTGCATCATCAGTATTTGTGGGGTTTCCCATGGACTATCCACATTCCAAATACACAACATTTATTCAAAGACTTCACTGAGCTGTTCACTTCACTGAGCTGTTCTGTGCTACAGGATCTATTTATGTTATTAAGGAAAATTATAATGGCCTGAGGAATCCCTCAGCAAACAAAGGTTAGTGACCTTAACCTTGCTTCATTTACAAACATAAGTGAAACTTGACTTGGGCCAGTTCTTGTAAATGCCTATATTTGAAAAAAAAAATCTAATTTAAGGCAAATCAATCAGAAGCCAACAACTAACTTATTGAACTGGAAACTTTCCAGCAAGGCAGGCCAAATAAGGCAATAGTATAATTGTAACCAGTTTGTGTGTATGTGTGTGTATGTGTGTGTGTGAGAGAGAGAGAGAGAGAGAGACAGAGAAAGAGCGAGAGAGAGAGAACTTCCTTCTGGGTCTGCCATGTAAAAGTCTTCTTTTTCCATTCTCTTGGCAGAACTCTTAAATCACTTCCCACTTAAAGCTACACCATTCATGAATCACATTTATCTGAAATAAACTCATTAAATTTTATTGTGCCTCAATTTACCTGCTAGCAATTGTACATTTGTAACTTTAGCTAGATACTTTACTCCTCTAGGCAGACATAAGTCAACCTGCAGAGCTGAAGACTTTTAGGATCTCAACAAGTCAGTGTCTTGAATATATGATAATGCAAGTCCTCAAAAATAAAGAAGAAAAGAAAAAGAAATGCTGCTATGCATGCAAGTCTTAACAGAGAAAAGTTAGCTTTCAGAATAATGATCTATCCAAGTTTGTTAGTGGCCTGAGGCGTTTCATGTGCTGAGGATATTAAGGATATCCAGGTGTGAGTAATAGAGAGCCCTGATGTCTGGTCTCAGCATAGGTGATATTGAAAAATCATTACCTCTAAGGAAAAACCTCCAAACCAAGTGCAGAACAGCAGCAAACTGAACAGAGATGTTCTTTATTAGCTCGAGGGCTAAAATCTGTGTGACAGGAATGGAGGATGGAGTTGGATGTGTGACTTTGTTTTCACAACTGCTAGCAAGATGGAATGGTAAACTACTGAAATAAACCATAGGAAGCATGGAACCTTCCAGAGTGTATATTCATGAACGTTTCTATTTCCTTCAGAGAATACTTTTTTGTGTGTGTGGTACTGGAGTTTGAACACAGAGCCTTATACTTGGTACACAGGTGCTCTACCACTTGAGTCACTCTACCAGCCCTGTTTCGTGTTGAGTATTTTTGAGATTGGATCTCATGAACTATTTGTCTGGGCTGGCTTCGAACCATGATCCTCCTGATCTCTGCCTCCTGAGTAGCCACTGGCACCCAGCTTCCTTCAGAAAATACTTGATGTGCCTCTGAAAACAAAAACACAAATGCAAACATCTCATGGAAGAGTGTATGTAATGCTTTGTGATGGGCAGAATGACCCCAAACATGCCCTCCTTCCTGAGCTGTGAGAATATGTTACATAAAGGGCTTTGCAGATGGAATTTAGGTTACAGACTTTAACTGCAGGAGATTATCCTGAATTATCCAGTGGGCTCAATGAAATCACATGCGTATTTAGGAGTGTTGGAGACAGAAGATACGCAAGGATAGCGTGGCCCAGGGGAAGTCAGGGTCATTAGGCCAAGAGACAGTCTCTGTGCCCCGTGGATCCCACGTTTCTAGAAACACAGACAGCCTAAACAAGCTGAGAGTGGGCCCTGATGACAGCCAGTGAGGAACCTGACCTCATTCCTTGCACTAGAAGCAACTGAATTCTGCCGAAAACCTGGCTACATTTGGAAGTGACCTCTTTTTAGTTTCCAGTCCCAGACTGGTGACACCTTGATTCTGTTGTGTAAAGCCTCTAGGCAAAATGATCAGTTCAGTCCAGCTGCACACCTGAGAGAGAAAGAATGGGTGTTGTTGTAAGCTTCTGAGTTTGTAGGTATTTGTGACAGTGACAATGAAAAGCTAATACGTATACATCCGCAGCTGCCACCTGCATCTTCGTCTGTGTACGTTCTCCTTTGGTTCAAAACACTGGGCAGTGTGACTGGGAAAAGGTCTTCTGGAACATACCCTGAGAAGATATGCAGAGGAAGGAGGTTACCTCAGCAGAAAGTCAAAGTTTTGACTTCTGCTTTTTGTTTTGTTTTGTTTGGGTTATGCGTGGCCTCAGAGCTAAAGTAACATCCACAGTCATGAGGCATACGGCAGACGAGTGACAGAAACGGCCAGGTTGCTTCCGACCACACCGTATGGATGCCAAAGTCTCCTTCCATCCAAGTGCAAGAGAAGTGTTCACAATCCGTTTGAAACAGATACACTGCAACCACAACCCAATATCCACATGCACAGGTACAACTGCACTGGCTTCAGAAATGATACGGATTGAATTATAGCTTCCCCCAAATTCAGGCATACCTCAGAATATTTTTGGAAATAGGGTCTTCACAGGGGAACAAGTGGAGAAAGTTATCCACTGTTGGTCGAAGTGTAAATTAGTACGGCCAGCTTGGAAAACAGTGACAGTTCTTCTTAAAACTTGTATGATCCAGCAATCCCAGATGAGGTAAACTCAGCCTGTTGAGGAGGTAGATGTGTTCCCATGTTCACTGTAGCACTATTTCAGTATCCAGGATTTGGAATCAACTAAATGTCCATCAACAGACGAATGGATGGAAAATGTAGTACACAGTGGAATGCTATTCAGCCATGAAAAAGCACAATGGACCTGGAGGACATATGTTAAACAAAATAAACCCAGCACTGAAAGACAAATACAAATGAGCTAACTGACTTGTGGAATCTAAGAAAAGTTGATCTCATAAAAGCTGAGATTAAAATAATGATTGCCAGAGACTGGGGAGAGGAGGAGGAACAGGATGGGGGAGAGCAGTTGTTCCATGAGAACAAAGCTACAGTTAGATGGGGTTAATAAGTTCTGGTGTTTCTAGAAAGAAACGCTCAAGTTGAAGGTGAGGAATTCACTTGGTCATTACTCAAAGTTTACATGGATCAACACAGTGCAGTTTACTTCACAAATATGTACCAATATTAAGTATCAATCCAATCAAAAATAAAATAAATTTTAATTTAAAAAAACCTGAGGTCATTATGGTGACCCTGGTGTCCTTATAAAAAAAAGTGAAATACGGAGATCGAGGTTTAGGGTGACACACCTACAAGGCCAGAGGTTCCTTCTCCACCTACAGCCCTACTGTGTGGAGTTGACAGACCTCCCATCCAGGGTCTGAGTCTAATCCAGGCCCTACCATCCTGCTGCTGCCAACCCCTGTATTTTTAAATTTTTGTTTAAAAAAACATTTAATTAACAAAAATTATATATTGCACATATTTAAGGCATCCA